CAACACGCAACTGTTAAACCCGTGTCAACTGACCAACGAGCTTTGGCGATTGAGCGGGTAGTTTGGACGGAGCCTAAAGAGCAAGCCAGGTTGGCCAGACAGCTTTCCGCATCGTCTACACCGAGTGAGTCCGCAAAGCCTACTGGGCACGGCGCTGGCCAGCACGAGGCCATCATCATTGATGACTCATTGCCCTATGGGGACGACGCTGCGGACACGCAGCTGGCTTCTGCGACCAGTATCGAGACAGCGATGCAGCGCTTCCAGCTAGAGGTCCCGGACGCGGACCTTCAGGATCCTACGGATGGGGGCAAGCCTGACCCTTGCATCAATTCTGGCAGTGATGTTTGTTTTGAAACTTGCAACGGATGGCAACAATGAAATGCGCGATCTGAAATCCACAGCAACCCTGTGATATTTGTTTGGAGGTGTTACGACGTGACCAGCTACGCTTGAAGGCGACGGGCGATGAGGAAGAGGAGGGTGATCCGAACAAGCCCAAGACCAAGGGCAAGGGTCGAGGCGGTCGAGGGTGAGGTCAAAGTCGCGGCGCAGGCAGAGGTCGCGGCAGGGGGAAGAAGAAGGCAGACGAGCAGACCTCCCCCACGGAAAAGGCTCCCGGCAAGAAGCCGAAGGAGAAGAGTCTCGAGATGGAGGCCACGGAGAAAAGCCCCAAAGCGGAGGCCAAGGATGAGGATGAGAAGAAGGTCGAGGGAAAGAGCCCTGAGACACCCAAGGATGAGGATGAGAAGAAGGTTGAGGTGCCCAAGGATGAGATTGAGAAGAAGGTCAAGGGGAAGGGTTCGGAGAAGAAGGTCAAGGTGCCTCAGAAGAAGGCCAAGGAGAAGAGGCTGGAGACGGAGGTCGAGGAGAAGATCCCGGAGCAGGAGCCAAAGAAGACGGTCAAGCGCCAGCGTGTGTCTGACCCCAGGGAGATTGATGAGCCGAAGCCTAAAGCAAAGGCGAAGGCTGGAGCTGCAAGGGGAAAGCGCGCACGTGCTGAGCAGGGAGAGCAGGAGGGGGCTCCTGATGCGGCTGGAGCTGGAGCATCGACGTTTGCGAGGCGCAAGCGGCCGAACACAGAGCTAGGCGCTATGAAGTGGGGCGCGTTGCGGCAGGCGTTTGTGGATGTGGTGAAGCCACAGCTGAAGACCTACTCGGCTCACGAGGACGCTTGTGGGTTCGTCTGCAAATAAAGACGCTCAGCCCCATATTTCTTTCGATTTGGCCAACCCTCGAGCCCTCAAACCTGCTAAAAAGTCTGAGCCGGATGTTAGCATCATATCGTGTTTCAAGGGTGAGGCATCACAAATTTGGACGACTTTCTGACACCGTTCCATGATTGGTTTGTAGGGCGCTGTCCGATGTTGGTTGGATGACCAACCCTCTAGAAAAAACGGGGACCTTCAAGTCATGAGAAAAAAGGGCTGGATCTTTCAGGACTACTTCTGGCAGTACGCCTCTGAACAACATCTCAAGGGAAAGGACATCACCAGAGAATCCTTGCCCCAGATTGCCCACACTGCGGCCACCGAGTACCTGGCGGTTGTCCAGAAGATAGCCGCACGATGAGGTGAAGTTCCTCGCACGAGCCGGCCAATGAGTTGGCGGGCGTGACATCTTTATTTTTGAGCTTGCCCAGACTGATCTGATCTAGACCTGCCCCCCAATTTCAATGCAAAGTCGTTCTTGAAAAACCAAACAAACACTCGCAATTGCGGCAAATAATGTTTTCCCTATCGATACTTGTAGGGCTCAAGCGGCCTGGGGGGCCGAGAAGATCGATGTTCTGGTTAGGCCTTAGTCCCATTTCGAAGGAAATTCGGGGTTATTGAACCCTCATTCTCGCACTCGCTGCGCTAGTTTTGCTGTTACACCATGTGATTCGAGTAGCCGACTGTGTGATTAATCTGGGGTTCGCATTCCGAAGGCTTGATAGAAGGTCCAACACTGTCAGACATCTTCCTGCTGAGATGCACACGGCTTGTGACTCACACATGATTGTTTCTATAGAAACCGACAAGCCTGCGTGGAATGCTTTCCACAGTCCCTCGATAGTTGCACTGGTCCTGCAGCAATGCGCGCTTAGGCGTCGGGGTACGGATTTGGGTTGGAGAAAAAGTCCCCTTGCCTGCCTGGAATAATTTATTCAGCCTTCTGAAGGCTACGTTTGTTCCGCTCACTGCTGCCCAGGTCAGTGTGGCATGGTGCATGGTGAAGGCTGGAGACGGCGCCTGTGCCCCCCTGCATTCATCAGACGTCCGCCTAGCCTGTTTGTTTCAAACCAACTGCGCTTGAGCACAGCAGGCTTGAGTTAAGTCGTGCGTTAGACCACTGTGGATGTGATCGCTTGTGCCTGCGCATCGCCTGCACCAAGCATAATCAAAACTGCTGGCCGCCTCAGCAATTTGCATTCTTAGCTGGCTTGCTTCCTAGCTGGAACGTGTGCCTAGACGGGCTGGGCAGCATGGACCCGATTTGCGAGTCGAAGCTCAACACGGTTATGAAAAGATTGCACGTGTTGGGTGCACCGAAGGCAAGGTTCCACTGCTGACTCACTTGCGCATAACCAATTTTTCTGGCCTCTAGTTCGGGCTCACTGTGTCAAGCGGCGGCCAAACATTCCGCCCTGTGCCTGCAGATCCTGATGGCATGCATCGTGTTGCTCGCCTTGACGGATGAGACCCCCATCTTTCAGGAGGCCGCAGGGCATCGATCAACAGTTGCAGGTCAAGCTCAACAACTCTTTCTGAGCAGGGATGGCCCTCTCAAAAGCAGCTTTTGTTTGATTGGCAAGCAATTGAGAACATGGTTTTGATTCCTGTGCATTTTCATTGCATGCACACACATGGGAAGCATGGGAAGGAAGGGTTACCTGCTTGGAAAAAACCCTGGGTCGCAGGTGTACTCATTCATAGAGCTATTTGGAGGGACTGCCTGGGTATCTCGCTGCATGAAGTCCGCTGGGCACGCAGTGGCAAGCTTTGACATCCTCTACGGGCACCCAAAACCAAATAAACAAGACTGCATGGATCTTCTCACGGATGCAGGCTTCACGCTTCTCTGCAGAAAGTTGCCCGAGTTTTCATAACAGACCCAGATGCCCCAAAACATGTTCTTGTAGATTTGTTTTGTATTTTCGGGCATTTCGGCTAGCTGTGTGTCAAAAATGCCGAATATGGTTACTTTTTAGAAACAGTTGGGCTAGCAAGGAACTTCTCCAACATAAATGAAATTTGTGTCCTAAGGGTGCCCGAACTGGATGCCCTTCTTGAGGCAGTGACGACACAAGGACGTTTTGTTTGGAGCGTGTCGAGTCTTTGCCTGTCTTCTGTTAATGGTGGACCTTAAAGAACCATATTGCCCTTAAGGTTGCTTAGGGGCAAAATGAACAAATTCCAAACTACCCCTAAGCCTGCTTAGGGGTAGGTTCCAGCATGTTGAGTAAACTGTGTCCCTCGAGATGCACGCGTTTGACTGCTTGCCCTTGCCCTTCGTTCTATATATGTTTGCCAATCACTTGGCTAAGGAACACGCAAACAGAAACGCATGTTTTTGATTGAACCCGGCATGATCCGTTCGCATGAGGCTAGCCTTGCTGTGCATCCTCAACTGCCGCCTCGACGGCTTCCATGCCCTGATTGGGTTGTGCTGTTCAAGCTGGGTAACGATTTCTGCTGGCACACATGGACGTTGTCCATCACGACCACTTGGAAATGACCATCTTCCATTTGTCAGCAGATCTAACGTGCTTACTTCAAGGCCTGTTGTCTAAATTGCACTTCTGATCACACACCCGGGAAGGAACAAATCAGGAGTGATCTTGCCCTTGCTATCGGGGTTGTCCATTGCAGGGTGTCATGGTGGTGAATAAGTCTAGACTACTGCAGGTACGTTAGCTGACCTCTTTAAAAGAAAGGCCAGTTGGCCCTTTTGTGTGCACTTCACGAAGTGAACGAATCATGTTGCGATGAAATAAAACCGAGGGGGGGAAGCCTCAAGAAACATTGAGCGGTTTCGTTACCTTCATGAAAGGGTCCAAACATCAGCCAACCCTTTCCCTTGAGATTTTTTGGACCATCCCCTTAGTCTCCACACGCATTGCTGCCCAGGACGGCTCTCCTTATTTACGCCATATCGGCGATGGGAGGAGCATGGACGCTGGAGCAGCCCCGGAGCTCTTTAGTGGCTTGGCACCCGAGAATTATGGATCTCTTCTCCCACCTCCCGCAGGCCAGGGTTACCTGAAAAATGTTTGGGGGCTCCGTGGGTTTGGGAAACTGCAGAGACTGTTTTCCTTCAGCCATGTAGCCCTGTAGGTTTGGCAGGCGTGCTGGTGGATGGCCTTGTATGGATCCCTTTGTCCCAAGCGACATATTGCTTGGTCCAACGCTGCAACTATATCTCGCATTGATTTGGGAAGGCTATCCCGGGCATTGAAGGAAAAGCTGTCCGCGTGCCCTGACAAACCCTCGACGACATATCGAAATAAGAAAGGACAGAAGAAGTTCAAGGGAACCTCAACCTTGCGCCAAACTGGGTCGGAACCTTATGTGCTTTCAATTGAACCTTGCCACTCTGTGCTTGTATGAGAATGCATGCACAGACCTATGTTGTCAGGGCATCCTTGCGTGTGCCATCTCAGGAACTACCCACCCAGATTTGGAATCCGCCTTGTTCGACTACATGAACAATTCTGCAAAACGCGGGTGAGCCATCCTCCTGTGCCAAATGACTTGCACAACGAGCCACTGAAATCTTTTTTCATGTCTCTCCCATGGGGAGATTTGTGGGATGATGCCGAGGCATATTCTTGTATGGCCTATTTGCGCGGGTCAATCCACCTTTTGCTTGGTGATTGGCGAGAAGCTTTCCCTGCAAAAATCTAGGGGGGTCGCTGCCATACGAGTGTGAAATTCACTCCTTGCATTAATGAACCGAGACGGGGTGACCATGCAGCTTGTGCTAAAACATGCGTGCAGAGTTTTGGAACCCTGCAAATGGCCCGGGTCTCTTGGATTGGCTTGCCACTGCGCCGCTCTAGCATTTGGAGGGCTGGGGCAACTTGACTGGGGTAGGCCTCTAGGTTCCTTGGGTCTGGGTGGAAGGTGACATCCCCTTTTTCAACAGCAATTCTGTACGATTCTGTTTGTTCAATCTTTGTCGGAACTATGTTTTTGGGTGTTTTTTTTGGGGGTGTAAAAAGTACGTACTAGTACGTGCCAAATACGTACCTGTACCTACTTTGTACGTACAAGTACGTACCCTCAAAACCCACCCGTACTAGGGACGTATTTTTCCGTACAAGGACCGTATTTTTCCGTACTAAAATACGTACTTTACCCGTATTCTGAGGGATTTCAAGAACCCTGTCACTGGCTCTTTTTTTGAGGGTCGGCATGTCTCATATGGTGGCCCGACGGTCCCTCAGATTGCACCTCGCCATATTTTGAGGCTCCCGGCCCTAGATCTTGAAGTAGCTGAAGCCTGTCGGTTGCAGAAGCCATGCAACAGCGGAAAACCTTGAAATCAAAGCAATGGACTTGCTCAGAGCTTGTGGACGGCAACCAGCAGTTGTTGTCGGTGAAGAAGGAAGCTGAAGCCCCGGATGAGTTACAAAAGCAAATCCAGGAGTCCCGGTTGAAACGTCTTGGTTGTTGCCTTGCACTGGGGTGATATGTTGTAATCTGCCCTTTGCATCCATAAACCCAACGTCCCAACGTGCCAAATCGTACTGCAGGAGTATGAGAAACAGCTCGACCTGCTGATGGAGAAGAAGAAGGCTTTGGAGGTGTCTTGCTCAGATTAGTGGCTGATACTGAATGCATGTGTCCCGTATGCGAGATGCCACAACTCCCCAGCTTATTTTTTTTTGCCACGGCTCTTTTTGGATTTGGGATGGAAATACAGCTGGCGGGCCCAGCGCTCGATTTTGATTTTGAGCTTAGGAGGCGGAAACACAACCTGCTTCTTGGAACCATTTACGTGGAGGGGTGTTTGCAGTGTTTTGTTGCATGGCCTTTTGAATCAAAGAGTTGGCCCGAAGGATACATTCTCAAAGTGTGAAAACTGTTGGAAGCAGCTCAGGCAACGCCAGAGGAGCTTGCCAGGTCCCGACCAACAGCCAAAGCGAAAGCCAAAACCAAGCCACAAGCAGTCCCTCCGCTCAAAAAGGCTTCGCCAGAATCCAACAAGAGGTCAGTGCAAAATGAGGGTGACACACCCAAAGCGCAGCCCGTGTCCAAGGCCAAAGCAACCGCCCCGACAAGCGTGCGTTCCGTGTCCAAGGGCTCTAAGAGAGCCGCCCAAGCAGATCCCGCAACCCCTCCCAGGGCCTCGGCGCCGCGGTTGCCACCGAAGCGCCTTAGAGAGAAGGTGCACGACCCAGATCCCGAGGGGCAGGTGGCAGCCTTGAAGGAGGCCCGAATGGATTGTTGGGGGTTGACTTGTGTTCCCGGATTTCGGCTTGGTTGGGCTATGGTTAGAAGTCAACTTTCAGGGGGGGCTCAAAACAAATCATCAGGTGGCTTGCTACAATTTCTTTATCATCCCAATGCATCCGTTTCGCAGGCAAACTTGAAGATGCAGAAGGAACTTGAGGCATTGAGAAAGATGTCTGGATCTGCCACCCCGTCGCCCAAGCCGCGTCCCTCGCCCAACACTCGTACCAGCACAGAAAAAGAGCCCAGTGGCACCAAAGCAAGGAACAGTCGCATGTGCCAGAAAAAGGACAGCAAAGAGCTGACCGAAGAGGAAAACGAAGAGTCTCAAGAAGAGGAAGAGGACGAGGAAGAGGAAGAGAAGGAGACAGAAGAAAACTCACAGGCAGGCGAACAGGCAGAGGCAGAGGAAGATGCAGAGGAAGGGGATGACGAAGAGGCAGAAGAGCGCACCCCAGAGGTAACTGGCAAGAAGCCCACAGGCCGCAAGCAGCCAAAGACGAACAGCGCTCCCCAGTCCCTCGGCGCCAGAAAAAACCGACTCCGCAGAATGTGTGAACTCAAGCCGAGCGGCCGCTTGAATGTGCCGGAGCCCATCCACGAAGCGTGGAAGAACGGCTCCACTGCGGAGCGGGAGGACATGATCGCTACCTTGGACGAGTGCGGCTGGAGAAAGGACCCCTGGGAGTATGTGTGCCATGTGCATATGCATGAACATGATACGTTGTCAAAATGAAACAAACATGAGCAAAGTCTCTCACGCTGGTTTTAAGTATATGCATGTGCATGTCTTGCGCAACTCATGCCGATGATCTTTCCCTGAGTTTGATTGGGACGTTCAAGAAACTTCCTGGCAGGAGGATTTTGTCAAGCGAGTCATTAAGTCAAGGGAGAAAGTGGCCCGGAAGTCGGCCAAGAAGAAGCGCGGTTGGTACAGCACGGAGGGCATGGCCAAAAAGTTGAGTTGGAGCGGGTGCCCTTTCTGGTATTAGCGGGTTTCTCTTTTCCTTAACTCCAACTGCCCCCGAATCATTTGAGCTGCCATTCAGGTCCTACATCAAAGGCGTGGTGAAATTCTGCGAGAAGAAGGGGAATGAGCACCTGACAAAGAACCTTGGCCTTCTTGTGCAACTCATGCTACACGCAGTGCTTGGTGTGAAAAAGCTTATCAGTTCGTTTTTGCTACACACATCTCCCGGTTTTCGAAACAACTGCCGTCACAATCGGAGTCATGGATTGAAACCTAGCTTAGGAAGGACAAATACAACAAAAACATCACCAAATACTACGTGGAATATGAAGAGGATGATGAAAGTGCAGATGAGCTTGAAGAAAGGGAGCGTCAAGAGGAGATCGAGGCCACCGGGGTGTGTCAGGGAACCTCAACATGCCAGCGCTTCCCCTACTTGTTTGCAAGCTGGGTATTAGCTTTGTGCTTTTTTGTCAGGCTGGCAAGCCTGTGAAACTCCACAATCTCAACCCCAAGAAGATGAAGCTGGACAACCTTCCTGACAACGCCGGCTGCACGAGCGACTCTGACCATGGAAACCAGAAGCCGGAGCTTGCCAATTCCTACAAGAAGGAGCCCAGTTGTACATGCGGACTCTGTGGGTTATAAATGTTATATAAACTGCCCTTGTGTTCAAAACTCATCTCATGAGGGGAGGGGGGGGTTGGTGGATTGAGCCCTTGGCAGGAATACGACAAGCTGAAAAAGTTTGGTGATTCTCTCCTTTCAAGGTGCAACAAGATTGCCGATCTGATTGGTCAGATTGAAGCTGAAGTTGATGGGCACGATGAAACTCAGCAGGGGCGTGCTAAAACGCTCAACCCTTAGTTGACTACTTTCATAAGCCGACAAATCCTCCCACTGCGTTTTCACTTCCCCACCCCGTTCTCCCCGGCGCACGGTGTTTGCGCCAAGGTGCATCCAGGGCTTGGAAGCCGCCACCAAAATCCTGGAGAGCGAGTTCGAAACGATCGAATCTGTCAAGGCGGACGTGACAGACCTACAGGACTCCGAAATTTCTGATCTCAGGGGCAAAGAGTGAGGACCTCAACTCATGTTATTATAGTGCCGCCGGGTAGGACCAAATGTGCATGTGGTGTCATAACATGTTGTTTCTTGAGGGCGTGAGGCCCCAACATAAAACACCTAGGCTGACTTCAAAATCCCTGGCGGCGATCAAGCAGTCAACAGTCGCGTGCCCTTTTTGCAAAATGAGCTGGTATGCCGAAGCTACGTTTCAACCCGTGGTTAGAACTTGGGAGAGATCGAATCAGGTGCTCAAAAGTGACGACAAAGGAGACTGCTGGGAAGCACCTTGCCAAAAAAAGGAAACAAGGGGAACACGCATGCATTTTTTGTATGGGCAACAGCTGATCGATAGCCGACATGCACATAGTTCGCATTGCGTCATGGCCTCAGGAACCTGCTGAAAACCTTGCAGAAGCTGAACAATTCCTGATCAACGGGCCGGTTGGTTTGATTGCTGAAGCCAGCAAAAGGGCATGGCTTCCGAGTGAGTTTTTGCTTTACCAATTTCATGGAGTAAAGCTTCCATTGCAGCGCAAAGCGCCAGCTTGCAATCTTTGGGGTGTATGTGCATGCTTTTATGCACACCTGATGGTGTGCATGTATATGCGCATGGGGTTGAAACACGTGCTGAACACGTGCTTCTTACTGGGCTGTGCGGACGGCGTGTAATGGAGAAAGTTTCATGCGATTTGCACACGCGCTTGCTATCATGCGCATCGGCCTGCGGCCCATATTTGACATCCTTTTTTAAACACAGTTGTGATCCCTGCGTTGGCCCCGCCAGGCAGGGCCGCAAGGCAGAACGACCGTGACGAGCTTGTCGATGACTACGCACGGCTGATTTCCAATGGCGCCCGGAACCCGGGATGTTATTGGCAGGGATTGGCCACGCATGTGGACATGCAGCATGCATGTTTGCAAACTGCTTGATGCAACGCAGCCGCTGAAGCGAAGAAAGCACAATGCGCAAAGGCTTGGGGTCTTGGAATGCTGACAAGGTCTAAACCTGCACGATAGTTTGATATGTCTCTACTTTCTTTAGGGGGTTGGCCCCACCAAAACAAGTTGCCCTCTGAAGACTGAAGCCCGACTTTGATTTGACATTCGATTTGCATACGCCATGGATGACCTTTTGGACCTGCTCACCTACGATTGCCCTTTGACGGGCAAGAAGCGCACTGCTGGGGTAACCTTGGAAATTTCTCAACCAGGAGCAAAGCTATTGAAGCGGCTTGGACTCATGTGTCAAATGCTAAGCTGAATCCTGATCGACTGTACGCTTTTTCATTGCTGGTTAATCTAAGGACGCAACAAGAGAACATGCCCCTTGAGCTCCCAGAGGAAATGGCCAATGAGTATTCGGATTATTTTTGCCGGGGTGACAACCAAACAGCCGAGAGTGGTCCTGCGCAGCAGCATCGCCAATTGCTCATGGCAGCAGCCGCTGGCCAGGAAAAGATATGTTACAAAGTCCTTGTTTGGGTAGCTGGCTGAACCAACCCTGATGTGAAACCTGCAACAGTAGTTTACTTTAGATCTGGGCAGTCAAACAAGGGTCATTTGGGGCCCCTCAAGTCCTGCACCCTTCAACCCTTTGCCCGTTTGCTCGCCTTGCACTTTGCGCATCCCAAGGACCTCAAAGACAGCCTCAACATCTTGGCAGAGATGGGGGGGAACTTTATCTATGAGAGCTTTGATTGGTCCCTGCTCCGCCAACATGGCATTTCCACCCATTGGTTGCCATCGGCCCCCGGAAAGAAAACATCATGTGGTGCGATTTTGGCTCACGCAAAAGACAAAGTTACCGCGTTTCGTGAGGCGATTGGAATCAGGCTGTGCAGTTTTAAGATTGGGGTTACCGCAAATCCGCCATCGCGTTTTCCTCTATACATAGAGAAGGGCTACACCTCGATGTGGCTGATAGCCATGTCATCCAGCATTGACTTGATCCACATGCTGGAAGCGGCCTTGATTTCAGAGTTTCACAAGCATGTGGGTTGCCAGAACAAAGCCTGTTCTGGGGGGGAAGGGGCCCTAAACCGGGCAAACCCTGTTTGTCCTCCATACTTTGTGTATGTCACCGGGGGTCGTGCCGACCAATTCCGCCGAGTTGGGTAGCGTTTTGAACAGCACGCGCGTTTGGGGAGAGAAAGGAACTCTTGAAAGTGCTTGAGTGCATCACCCAGCATTGTGCGTGCGCATTTGTTTTGGTACATTTTTGCGTGCGACTGCTCGGCGCTTGCTTGCTGAGGTTCCTTGCTCTCATGTGGTGGAGCTGGCGAAGGCGCAAGTGAACGCGAACCCCAAACTGCAGCATGGTTATGAAGCAGCTTTCCCGGGTACGTGTGCAAGATGCGGAAGTTGGCTGCCATAGCATTTTCAGAGCGCATGGCTACTGTGCTCCTGTCCCGGTCGACACAGTAGACTTGGGACCTGGCGTTCTGAAGAGCTTCCCCTACACAAAGCTCAGCAATTGGGTGGCCTATCTTATGGACACTGATAGGCTGCCGAGGCAGTTGGTTGGGGTCCCTACATACGCTGCTATGGAAACAACCCTCCGCGAGTTTTGGCGCAGGTACCAGCAATTGTATCCCAACCATAGCATTTTTGCTGCTGCTAGCAGGGGCGCTATTGAAGTGGCTCGCTGTATTCCTGTGTACAGTCATTCGGACGAAGGCCGCAGTTTGAAACACCAACCCCTTTGGGTTCTGTCAGTGCATGGGTGCCTGGGACGCGGGACAAAAGCCTACATTTCGAGGGGCCAGCACAAGCTACCTTTGCACAGAAAGGGCATGGGTTTGAACTTCATCGGCAAGACTTGGGGAACGCAGTTCATGTTTGCCACGATGCTACGCGCTGTGTCAAAGGAACACCCTGCTGCTTTGGATAAGCTTGTTGGCCTGTTTGCTGATGACTGTGCGGCTTTGGCGTCGGAGGGCATCACCAGCAAGGATGGCCAGCATCATGTGTGGCTAATCCACCTTAACAACAAAGGAGATTTGCCGGCACTTGCGAAATTGGCTTCCTTGAAAAGGACTTTCAGTCATGTCCCAAAGGCTGCCTCATCCAAAAAACCTTGCACAGGGATCTGTCACCTCTGCCTGGCCGGCCAGGAAATTTCAGGGGATGGGACGCAGCTTTATCCGTTTGAGCAGCTGACACCACAACCATCTTGGCTGAGTACCTTGGAAGTTTCGCTACCATGGGATTCGGAACCAACCATCCTGCGTGGACACCCCTACTTGGACCGAACCCGGCTTGCCCATTTCTTTGCCACCGATATCTGGCATAACATGCACTTGGGTATTGCCAAACATTGGATTGCCTCCAGTTTGGTGTCTATCATGGAACGAAGCGATGACCTTTCTCTTCCCTGTGGCGCTGGTGCTTCGGTCAACGATGTGTTTATTTGGATGACTGCTGAGTTCAAGGACTTTTGCAAGAGAAAACGCGTCCAAGCCCACTCCTACGACATTTCAAGGGAAACCCTCGCATTTCCATCTTCCAAGAAGTGCCCAGTAGGGATGTGGAGCAAGGGATCTACGAGTACGCACCTGATGCAGTTTTTGGAGAACCTGTGCAACCGCTTTGTAGATGGCAAAACAGAAGACCCTCTTTTGCTTGCAGTGGCGCCGCAGCTGAAGCTTGATTTGATTTTGTTTCATATGTTGGTTTGGGCTTTGGGTCCTCCACCCCCCCAAAATGGTTTTGGAAACCAAACCTCAAATTGTACCCCTCCAAACCTTTCTCACAATGGTTGTCGCTTGTTTTGGATGTTTCTAGCCGGTTTATCTGCCCCCTTCCTCATACATCATTGCTACTTGACCCCACTTAGGCGGAAGGAACTTGGATGATCAACACCGGCGTGGCCTTCATGTACCAGAGGGGCTTTTGGATTCGGAAACCTGAAGGTCTGCGCTTGGCAAAATGGCTCTTTGGTTTCCTGATCTCCTACATGAAGTGCGTGAAGATCTGCAATGGTCAGGGCGCCAACCGTTTCGCATTGACGCCCAAGCTTCACATGTTTCACCATGCCCCCTGCCGCATAGTGACTGAGTGTGGCTCAGGGGGCTTTTGCATTAATCCCTTAGCTGAGTCGGTTCAGATTCAAGAAGATTACATAGGGAGGCCTTCACGGCTGAGCCGTCGTTCTGACATCCGTGCGCTTCATAAGCATGTGGTGTCTAAGGCGTTAATTTGTGCACGTCACGCGCTTGAACAGGCTGATGGGGATCAGCGTGGTTTTGACTAGCGCATGCGCAGATCGATGGGGAAGTTTCAGCCTTCTTCAACGAATATCCTCTTGCACTGGTTGTTTGCTCCCGTTTGCATGTGGTTTTGGGTGTCCAATCGGTCAGCATGTGCCTCAGTTCCTAAGCCTAAGTTCTCGATCATGTGGCTGCAATGGGGTAGGAAACAGGCAAG